TACCGCATATACTAGCAGTCAATTTCAACTTTTGTGGTTTAAATAGATTTGTTTTTCATATTCGTCGAGAGATAATGTCTCACATTTTCCACAAAAATGACTTGTTTGCACATGTTTAGTCAGATCTGTTGAATGATTATCTTATTCTTGGATATACGCTGAAAATAGTGTCTTTTGTGGCATAAAAATAATTAAATTAAGATTTGCTGAGTGATAACGTCTTAGTTTCCTGGGGCCATCCAGAAGTATTGTGTTAATTAGATATTGCATAGCTGTGTTAATTGTAAAGAAAATTGTAAATGGTTTTTCAGAACATGTGCACACACATTAAAAATGTTTAAAGAATTGTGTGTAAGTATAACTTTTTATTCCATTTAATACGTTCGAATGAGCTATTGGGTTCAAGAATAAAAGATATTTGTATAATAATGTTCATTTAGTCAAACTAATTAAATTTCTATTCATCAGGAAAGTTTTTTTTTCTCTTTCCTTTAGGGCATTGGATTTCTTAGAACAACCAGTCATTTGTTTGGACTCTGACAATGGGTTATTGTAAATCACAAATTATTGCAAATCATTTATTATTATAAAATTTATTTCCTATAATTAAAAAATTAATGATAAAAGTGCAACAAATTCAAATATTACTTTACACTTTAATAGGATTTCAAGGAAGTCTTTCAATTATTTTCTCACAGGATAGTTTTTATATAAATGATTTAAAGCGAAGGATCCCTCAAAGGATGAGAACTTTTCTCTGCAAAATTTAAAGTTCTTGTACAATTGTTTTATGTTTTCTTTCTTGTTTGAAAAGTCTGTGCTTGATTAATACCAGCTCATCTTACACTGTATTATGCTATTACAGTAGGTATCAAATAGTATTGTTGTGTGTACTTCATTTTTCACACCAAGTAAAAATGCAACGCTGATTCGTCATCTCGAACGTCTTTTGATCATAAAAATCTACAAGATGAAAGATATATGTCTTACTTTGTTGTATCTTTGTTGTATCTTTTATTTCGAGCTCAAAAGGTATAACGGATCAACGTAGAAATGAGATGAAAAGGATCAAATTAATAGACAGTATTCGATCTAATAAAAGTCAACAACAATACAAATCCGTGAAAAGGGCACACACTTGGAAAAGAAAAAAAATCCACTTTTTTGACTGGACATTTAAACAACGTATTATTAGTTAACATTCGTTACTTCCGTTCACATGTAGACTAAATGTATTCGTGTGATCACGAATAAAAAGTTTCAAATTTGGATATTTTACTGGAAAAAAAAGTTTATGATTATCTAGCAGATAAACTTGATGACGTTGACTTTTCTGTTGGCAACTTCCGTAACTTTTGTAGCAATATACATGTACCCTTATCATCTGCAAATTGTGTTTATGTTTCCCAATTTTTTGGAAGAAGATACACTTTTGACAAAAAAATAATTTAAAAAACCCAACAGTATTGTTTCAAGCCATTTCGCAAGCTCTGTATTCGATACAATGACATTAATTGATAGCAAGTACAGTCTATCATTAAGTTGAACGCTAAACGTATTTTTTATACTGATTGTTATGCCATTAGATTCTATTTACATACTGAATTATCAACGGATTTTGTTCCCGTTTTTCCCGATCATGACAAGGATTTGACCGGTAGACAGAGGATGCTTACTCTGACAGAGTACCTGATCTTGCTTCTGATGTTTAAGAGACCCGTGTTTTCTTTGCTCTCGATTTGTTTGTTTATTCAGGATATGGATTTGTATTCATTTAAGGTCAAGATCTAGTAAATGAGAGGTGCCTACAGATTTATCCTACTTGAGAAATAAATTCCTTTATTGATGCTTTACAACTTTAACTTGGTCAAATAAGGTGTTTCGGGGCATAATTTGTAGGTAAACAAGATGAAAAACTGTATTTTAAACTGTCATTTTCAATGAAAATTTAAGAAAACCAGTCATGAATATGGGAGTTTTTTTCATATTCGGCAAAGGAAATGTATCCAGATTGCCTACAGTCTCACAGAAAACGGTAATTAGTATGTTCATGGCCTCTTCTTTAAATCAATATCAAATTTAATATAGGTATCCGGTTTACTTTTCATATGATTTCAAATTGAAGGACATGAAAATACCCTATTTTCTACATAATTCTGCTAAAGCCGTAAAGTACGGGAAAAAGAAAGTTGAAATTGATTATGACGTCATAATGGATCTAGCACCAAAAAATTAGTCTCAAGTTATTTACTAGATCTTGACCTTAACGGACTTTTGATTTTTATTGTTGTTTGACATCTCCAAATATCAATCATAATTGTACTTGTAACTTTATATGTCAACAAGACATCTATTAAAACCAAAGACAAGAGAGAGCACTCTTAATTTCGTTGCTGTCATAAAAATACTAATTAAAAACCTCTGCAGAAGAGTTATTTAACAAATGTCTGTGTACGAGGGTCGGAGTCCAATAAAATGTCTATTTTTTCTTTCTTTGTGGATAAAAATATTTCATATCGAGCAGAAGTTTCCTTGTTCCAGATTTATAAATTTGGCTTACAGTTCGTGGTGTAACCTGATATAAAGCAGGCACTTGAAAACAACACATTCCTATCATAGACAGTGACGGAACTTGTAAGCAGGCGTCTCTGCATGGATGGTACTGCTAAAGTAAACATACGGGAAATACTCTAGAAAAAAAAACAGCAAGAATGTCCCCACACTTTATTTTATCACGTAGCAAGCAGTAAGGTGGCTCGTCCGACAAATGTATAACATACATGAAAAACAAACTCTTGCCTTTTAATCATAACCAAACGCTGAGCATACTTATCATTAAGCATCGAATGAATCAAAAAACGCTATGATTTAACTTTTTTTATTTTAAGAATTCCTATCCAAAAACTTTCAACTGCATTTAATGCTAGAGATAACCTTTAATAAAACGTATCGCACTTTTAAAACTTATGCGCATGCCATATCACTCTAAAAAAAGTTTTACTTAGTAATTTATATTTACTTAAATTTGTGTATGTAAGTAATAACATATTACTTGGTTTTTACTTACAGTTTACCACTAATTACTAGCTATTACTAAAATATTTTTAAATTGCTATATTTAATTGTTTTACTTAAAACAATAAATTATTTACTGCATCAAGGAGGATTCAGAGCAGCTGCAGAACAAATTACTTAAATCTGGTAGTCTAATCACTATATATATACTATAATGAAAAAAAAATAAAGATATCAGAATTTTATTTTAATTCCTATATATAACTAATATTTTTGCCCCCGTAAACGAAGTTTCGGGGTATATAGTTTTTGGTGTCCATCTGTCTGTCTCTCTGTCTGTCTGTTTCTCTGTTTGTCGGCAAAAACTTTACCTTTGCCCATAACTTTTGATTTAGCGGAGCTATGACTTGCATATTTCACATGTCCATTCCTTTTGACAAGACCTATCTTTGAGTATCGCCAAATTTGACCTTGACCTTGGAGTTTGACCCACCTTTACAAATTCCAAACTTTTTCTTTAGCCATATCTTTTTAAAAATAAATACCAGAACATTAATACTTCAAGTACATACTTTTTGTTGAAAGACCTTTCATTGGATACCAAAAACCATGACCATTTGACCTTGACTTTGGAGATTTCAATCCTTGAGAAAAAACTTTAACCTTGGCCATTACTTTTGAACGATAAGGGATAGGGCTTTCATACTTACATATATGTAATTCCTGTGAGAAGACCATTCATTAGATACCAAGAACTTTGACCCTTTGACATTGACCTTGGAGTTTGACCCACTTTTAAAAAGCAAACCTTGACTTTAACTTTACAAAGGTTGGGGTTAGTGCATTCATACTTTACATATTTCATCCTTGTGACAAGACCTTTCTTTGGGTACCACCAAATCTGACCCTTTGTCCTTGACCTTGGAGTTTGATCTACATTTCAAAGTTGGTAAACTTGACCATAACTTCTGAAGGGTTGGGGCTAGTGCTTTCATATTTCAGATATGTATTTTTTGTGGCAGGACCTTTCATTAGATACCAATAACATTGACCATTTGACATTGACCTTTGAGATATCAAGAAATACCAATATATTGAATTTGCATATAGCAAAAGTTAAACCTTTGCTATGTTGCAATATGGGGGGCATTAGTGTTTCACAAACACATCTTGTTTAAATTGTATTCAATTGATTTACTTAAAACAATGATTTATTTACTGAATCAAGGAGAATTTAGAGCAGTTGCAATACAAATAATTACTTAAAAATGGTAGTCTAACTACTATCAGGATTGAATTCTTAAATTGTCATATTAATTGTCTGTGAGGAGGCGTTATCTTTCTTCTAAATATTCCTTCATGTAAAAAAAAAGTTATACTAATTAAAATGCTGTATTAAGTACTTGAAACTTTAAACCATTTTTATTTTAAAATGGTCCTTAAAAATATACAAATTATTCAATTTAGAAGGCTTTTGATGTTGGAATTAAATGTTTTATTGCTAAATATAAAAAATCAATTACAAAGAAATAATGTCGATTTTAGTAAATATGATAAGTAAGCATATTATCTCTAAATTAAGTAGTAATGATTTACTAAAAATGAGTAGTTCATTTACTAAGTAATATAATTCCTATTAAGTATTGATACTTAGTAAATCATTTTATAAGTAAATGAATTCATCCTTATTACTAGTTATGTTTACAATTACTAACAATGATAGTCATTTACTTGCTATTCTGACTAAATGGATTACTAACAATTACTAGTTTTTCTTAATCTAATATCTTATTTTAAAAGCAACAAGTAAAACTTTTTTTAGAGTGTACTTAAGTTGCGTATAGTGTTTTCATCACCATTATATATACATATATATTACATGAACTGTTATATACCAATGGCAAATACTGTGACTGTAGGCTAAATCAAGAGAATGTCATATAAACGAGAAGGAAGGAAGTAAATAACCACATGATTTCAAATGTATATGCATATTTAAAATTTCATAGAAATGTGAGGAAATGGAGTTATTGTGAAAATGACATTTATTGTCTTTTCCATCATTAGTGTATTGTGTTGTTTACCTGAGGTGTTGTCTATCTTACCTGGGACAGTCAATGGGTGTAAGGAAACAGAGTCAGTAATATATATTCTTGTAAGTTTAATGTTTTATTTGTATATAAAATAAAGAAATCTTTCATTTACAGTTTTCTCATTTTGCAGTGGAACCCGATTTTGCTGTACTGGTTTTTATGAACTGGATCAAAAATGTTTTGGTAAGTGATTGATGCAGTGCAACACTTTAATATAAAATTGAATCACGAATAATTTCAACTATTTAAAATACATTTTTGCATACACATGTATGCCTGAATCTACTTTTATTTTCATAAAATCAAAGAATTATTTTGATAGGGTTCCAAATAGCTCTAAAACCATTGTTTTAAAATAAAAATCAAGGAGACTACATAGCACTAATTATTCTTTTGTGTAAAATTTCAAATTAAAATTTTTCTATTAAAGTCAACACTCCCCAATGGACTATTTTTATTAAAAAGAATTCTGATATAGATTATATCTTTATGACAGATATTTCATTTCAAATTCTTACTCATAGGAAAATACATGAATTGAGAAATTTTTACTGATGGATCATCAGCAATATCAACTCCTGGCTTTTCAGGCTGCTAAATTTGCAGTTTGTCAATTGTAATAATATTCAATTTGAAAACACTGCATGTAGAATCTTCCATTGTTAAAGTAAGTTTTAAAACTTCCCATGAATGAACGTATCATCAGAGAGTGCAATAAATCCTAGTTCCTGCAGTCACTTACAGAGCTCCATAAAAACTGTTTGATATGACAAAGAAACATCTTTCTTTCTCTTTCAGAATGTATTGGATCATTCGGACATAACTGTTCAAACCCATGTCCTCCTGGTTGGTTTGGTCCTAGATGTAGGAGAAGATGCGCATGCCCAGATGATAAGTGTGATGATGTAGATGGCTGTCCAAAGGATAGTCCTTCTTGTAAAATATAACTTTCTCTTTTTTAAGAAAGTTACTTGCCTTTCTTTCTACTTGCTGACAGTATGTTACTTTATATGCTTTTTAACAGACAAAAAAAGTTCTGAAACTTCCAAAGTCAGCCCTACAAGCAGCTCAAGCACAGGTGGCGCTGTCTTAACCAGCCATGCCAACATTCCAACAGATGTTTATGTTGAGAAAGTGATCACTAAGGATGAACTTTGGGGAAACTTAAAGTCGATGGGAATACAGTATTGGATTATTGTCTCCAGTATTGTTTTTCTTCTTATCCTCACTGCTTTTAGCATGGTAGTCATCACATGCTACAGGTATACAAACGCATCAAATGTTATCAATGTAAAAGTAAACGATTTTTTAATTTATTTTTCTTATACACTGTAATTTAACAGTGTCCTATGGATACAAAGGTTTTTGGTATGTTTTGTGATTATTTTCTATATAGAGAAACAAAGCAAATCCACCAGAATTACCGTTTAATTGAAGAGGACAGTAACAGTGTGTACGCTGGTCACGAGGAAGAGACCAGGGACAGTCTAAATTTTGAGGTTAATGAAGAGAGCAGAGGAAGTGTGTATGCTGATCACAATGAAGACACAGATAAACTTCACAACATTATGTTTTCTGCAAAGTCAAAATCTGATGAGCAAATTGTTCATGAGAATCTGTATATGCACTTACCCATCTCAACAAAGAAATTTGAAAGAAGCAACATAATTCAAAATTTCAACTGATTTATTTAAGGAATGTTAAACGAAACCAATGAGCAGCGCGAATTTGTGAACGTGCTCAGAACTCTGAATATAATGTAAAGGCTAGGCTAAATTTTTTTCAATCTTATTTAACTTATATGCCATGTGAGATTATTTGACAACATTATTTCCTTAATTGAAATCCTCCTTGTTCAAATAAGGAAAACTTTAAATTTGTGTTTATTTAAGGTATGAAATATCAATGTTAATACAGTCACATAGTCAAGCAAATATTAATTATCTCTTATTATTTTTGTTCAATATTAATATTAAAACGTGATATCAATATCACTTATTGCTTTGCCTATTAATGAGAACTTGATATTTATTGCACATAAATATTTTGATCCTTCTCCCTTACACTAGTAAAACCACATCTTGAATTTAAAAAAAAAATGCATAGAAATGGCTTATTTCAATTTATGCAGAAAGCTTGAATGTGATATTACAAATGACTTGCCGAAATGTCTGCGCTCTAGTAAATCAATCTTAATTAGTTTTACGGATTTTTCTTTTTTTATTTGAACTAGACTATTCAGATGAATTTTGTTTAAATCTCATTATTTTGTAAAGTAGATGCAGTTTAATGAAATGAAGCTCTGAAGAATTTGAATATTATTTTGCCATCAAATATTTGTTTCGACTTTTAAGATATATTTTTAGGTTTCTAAGTTGTTACGTAGTCTCGTTTCAAAGTTATCTCAAACAAATGGATTGGAACATTATTTATATATTGATATATTAAAATGTTAAATAATTTCCTCTTAAATGATGTTTTTTGCTAATTTTTTCCTTTTGTTTCTCTTTGAAAATATTAATTTAAAAATATGTTAATTGAATGCAAAGTATCTCTTAAGGTCAGACGACACGTTACTGAAGTATAATTTTTCCTAAGAATTTGTCATTGAAGTATAGGTACTTAAACAAGTTTCCTCACAAAAAATTAGGGTACCTTACCAGGGATTTGGCTAGATACCATAGGGTCATATTTCTTATATAACCCTTATGGGTAATCTTCTAAATGGCCTATAACACAATTTTTGGCGTACATATATTTAAAAACATTTTGAAAACAATGTAGAAATCAGAAGAGAATAACAAATATAAATAATTCTTGATATAATACCAAGAGATACATAACATTAATTTGAGGAACGTGTCGTCTGACCTTAACTTTTCTTTTTTCTAGAACAGTAGAAGCAAAAATTATACCTTACAAATTTCAATAAATTTCCTGTAAAAAACGTAATTATTAGTATCCGTATATCAAAAGTAATGGCTTCGGAACAAATTAAAAGAGATCTTTTTGAAAATATAGATCAACTTTGTTCATATCTGTGGCACTAAAATGCTCTAAAAGACGTAATTTTGTGTATTTTCTTATCCATCATATCTACTGACGTCATTCCTGTACCGTTTGAGTTTGTTCTGCCTTGACTAAGCAAAATAAATTTATTTCAACACAGTTTAATAAGAACTTGAAAAATTGAAAACATTGATGTCATTTTAAAAAGAACACAAATTATACAGCTAACTGATGATGGTAAACCTTTCACAATTTATGAAAAAAATGTAGATAATAAAGAGAGATAGATCTCATAAAAATAACAAACAACGCAGTAGTGAACAGGGCATAAACAGAGATCCCCGTAAATTCCAGAGGGGGTTAGGTGTCTATGGCTATTGGAAGAGTGAGGGACCCTTGCTGACTAGTCACAGCGCCGTAAGACCTACGTATTGACTGTGTTGACGAAACATTCTTTGGTCAAAATTAGCATAAAACTAAAGGTCTGATCATTAGTTTAAAACAATTCAGCATTATTATGATCCATAGTTTTGTTTTATTTGTAAACAAAGTCAGTATTACTGCCAAAGAGCTTAAGAAATGCCAAATTAAATGGGGTTGTTGGTATCCCTAATACATCAACTTATATGCGAGTAGTCTACTTCGGTTTGAAAATAGTATTCAGAGCATGTTTTTGAAAAGCGGATGAATTTGGAGACAGAAACATCGTATGTGGGTGATAGCGGAATATTTCTACATAAATAAGGAATGCTGATGATGGTTAAGTGAATATCTCATTTGTGGTAGAATTTGGTTGTTAGTTAGCTGTTCTCGCCTTAAGCCGGTTACTGGTAATATCACAGACTTTGTTGTACTTCCAGTACATTATGATATATCGAATTGACATATGAATAGAAATGACTATTGTTGATAATTGACAAAAAGGAATGTCGAGTTGAAGGCCACAGCTAGTATTTCATCCTTCTCCTGTAGAAGTTTTTTTATGATAAGCAACTTAATGTTGCTTCATAGCTAAATAAAAACAGATTGGCTAATAAAGGAGCAAAATTAGTGCTTATTGGGATTCCATCATTTTGTTTGAGACTTAGTGTCCGAAGACTACATTATGTTGTCAATGAGGAACTCTGGCATACTAACAATATCACCATAGGAAACATTATGTGTATGTCCATGATATCAAAAACTGTGAAGTACAGAAAATCTTAAGAAGGAGTAAGAGAATGCTTATCTTAGCAACAATATCTTGTATTTGTACGTACAAAAGAATCACACTAAATTTTTGTAGTTTTATAAAAGCTCTTGACAAAGTGTTCCCTTGGGGATGACAGCAATGCTATATTTTTGTATATTTTCCCCCAGGAAATTTAATTGCTGCAGATTGATATGAAATATAAACAAGGATTTTAATTTGTATAATGTTTCTGATTATTAAAAAATCCATAGAGGTTTCAAGAAAAATAGGAGACGTTAAACTAATTGCAGTAATGGCAACAAAGCGAAATAAATACTTGTATTGATTATTTGTGTATCCTTTTTTCAAACTATATCCATACAAAAGAGAGTAGAGATCAAAAGTTTGTTTTCGTGTTTTGTTTAACGCCCCTTTCGAGATTTTTTCACTCATAATGAGATACATGTACCACCACTTACTTGTGGAGGGCTACAGAGATTTCCTAAAAATTGAAATCGAAGTATTATTTTGATTTATGATTTAAATTCTTTTTTTATTAACACAAAGTAAACTGAATGTACTATTTCTGTACCTAAGCATGGAAATTCCTTCAAAATACATGTATGTCAAAATACTCGTTTCATATCTCTATTTTTAGGAAATCAAAAGTTAAGTTTTGTTAAATAAAAAACGATTTAAAAAAAATAATGGCATAAAACATTCTGAATGTATGCTTGAGAATGTCCAACATATAACATGTTTCAATTTTACAACAGGATAGAGTAAAAATATGGCATAGCTTATATTTTTTTATTTCAAAATTATTGAATACTAGTACATTAGACAGTTTGTTTCCTTTTCCTGGTGTGATTAAAAATAAATGATCGAGTAAAAAGTGAGTTCATAGATATTTGTGTCCGCTTAAATGAACATCAATATGAAATTGACATAAATAAAATAAAATGAATAAATATTTTCATTGAGATTTTTACCTTTAACATTGCATTGCTTCAACGTTTGATAGTATTCAAATGACATAAAACATTCAAATATTATTTAGAATCTTCTATTATAAACTTTATTGTGGAATATTTGTGAAAGGTCAAGATAAATAAAAGTTATCGACCTTAAAAAAAAACAACCAAAACATAATAACATGGACATAAAACATCCCCCAGAGAGAAAAAAAAATCTTAACATTTCTATGATGTTCTTATTGGATTTTGCTATAAAAACTGAAATTATTTTCTTCATCGTTCAAACCTCTAAAAACATGGTAAGTTGTTTTTCCAATTAGTGTAATTTTAGGAAAATTGTGCGCTATATATAGCTTTTTTTATTATAAGGCTATCATTTTCGTTTAACAAAAATGATCATTTTTATGCATAAATTTTATTTTGGGTTAGGGAGTTGTCATATTTCTGTACATATTTCTATCGTTTTTGTTTGATTTCTTTTTCCGGATATTTTTTAAATATCATTTTATCTTTTTTTGCAAAATCTTTCTTGTTTCATTATTTTTTTACAGTGTAAAGTTTAAAGTTTCCTTCAAAGCGATTCATCCTACGTTTAAAGAGTACTTATGTTATTTAAAGACAGAAAGGTCAAACGGAGAGTATATTGAACCTATATATAAAGCATAAAAGAAATTGGAAATAAATGGATGTCTTTGGCGATTCCCTTTGCAAACTGTAAATAACATGATGGGTATGCTTTGTATGTGATTCGTGAAATATTAGCATCTGTATTTAATAAGAAACTCAATTTGCCTAAGCTGAAAGGATTAATAATCTCGGTCTTTTAATATCAAATTAGCTTTTTATTGATGAAAAGATCTGTAATGATATATATATATATATATATATATATATATATATATATATATATATATATATATATATATATATATATATATATATATATATATATATATATATATATATATATATATATATATATATATATATATCAACATTCTGATATAAAAAGGAAGTTGTTGGATTCTTTCATCAAACCCAACCCAAAACCATGGTGAGTAGCACATATCTCTGATTTAATAATTTTAATGCACAAGTAGATTTGGTCTTAGAGGTTTTTGTGGACTTTATCTTTTCTAGCTGCTATGTTACAAACGTGTGCTAAAGTGTAAATTGAAGGTTTTAAGTATGTAATTAATTGATTCCAGTCTTTATTATTACACCCGAACTTCCTAAAGAAAGTTCAGGTATATGTATTTTGTTGTTATCCTGGTCCCTCCAACTTTCACATTTTCTTCCTACAATTTGAACAGTAATCAAATCATCGTTCAGAGTATGATAGCCGGTGTTCTTAAGACTTTCAGTTAGGTTTCAGAGTTTTGATTTTCATCTATGGGATGAAAAAGGAGTGGAAAACTATATTTTTGCTACAAATACTTTACCCCTAACCACCTTCTACATGTACATGTAACGCAGTAGCCAAATAATGTCTTGCAATGTGTCCTGTGATTGTGAAGGGGTGTTTCCGAAGTTTAAGTTTCACCCAATGGTCCAAAAGTGGTCTTAAATTGGCTTATTTTTATAGAATTTATTTCATGGAAGGTAATAGGTGGTGACATGTAGAGGTCCAATAGGGTTTTGGAGTTTTTATTTCACCCTTATGGAGGACAAAATGGACATTTTACTTTTCAAAAGATCCAGATTCACAAAATTCTTTTAATTTTAAAATCAATACCAAATTCGTCCTTTGCAAGATCGAATGTGTGTGATGTGCAATAAGGTTTTAAATGTTTTATTTCCACCGAGGAAGTCAAAAGAGGTTAAAAACAAGATTTGTTTTACTAGTATTTTAAACGAAATTCCTTCTTATACTTTCACAAATGTCATTTTATCATTTGATAGAGGATTTGGGGGGGGGGGGGGGGGGAGAGGTCAATATGCTTTTAGGATCTGTATTTTCTACGCTGGGGTCAAATGGGAGTGAAGGACTTTTTAAACAAAAATCTGTTCCAAACCTATTCTTAAAATTTATAAAGAATCTATGTCATCTTTGTCTTCGAATATGTAGGCTAATATGAATTCATAATTTCATTTACTTGTAAATCACAGGGGCGTTGGAATACTAATATCAAACTTCTCAAAAGTCATCATACATTTTTGTCGTTTCATCTTTTGCAACATAATTTGGTATTGACTATAAACTAGATGTGCAAAAATGTTTTTAAATTTTCATTTCCACCCTATGGCAAATTTGGAGAAA